TTTTTTTATTATATTCTGCAATTTCTTGTCTAAAAATATTTAATGAATTTTACACTATAAATAAGTGTAACAGTCAATAATATTGTAATCCATTTAATCTTAGGTGTCTTGTATTTTACAGTAAAGACCCCAAAATGGCTCTTATTCAGATGGGATCAGTTGAAGAGGCTGTAATTGCTCTGATTGTAAGTTGTTCTTTTTTAATAATAAACTCTGAATAAAGTAACGATTGAATGATCATCAGTTCCACAAAAAAAGATAATTTTTTAATAGGTAAGACCTGTTATAAAACCAAGTTTAGAAATTCCTCAAGTACTTTATTATATAACTTACTTTATTCCAATATTTTATCATTCTAATTATCACATATTGTATTTTTTTTGTTGCTAGGAGTTCATTATTTAGCTTTAAGTTTGATAGATATTGTTTAGCATTAAGTCACTAAAGATATGTAGTTTTTTGTTGCTATGAGTTTATTATAAAGTTGTTACAGGCTGTGTAGTTTTAATATGAAAGAGTTTTTGGGTTTCAACATACTTCTGATTTCAAGTACATAATGGATGAATCAAAAATGAAATGTAAAACATCTTCAGTTTCCATTACTTTAAAACTGCAGTCATTATCTAATTATGTACTGCTTCTTATTCTAACTAGATGAATGGTTTTAATGTATTCCTTATTATTCTACTCTGGAGACCCAGAATTAGATGAATAATTTTAATGTTATAGTTATATTGTATATTATTTTGATCTGCACACTTCCAATCAGATTACTGTTTTTAATGTTGTGGTGCTTTTATTTTTTTCAGAAAATGCACAATTACCAGCTGAGTGACTCAAACCATTTGCGAGTGTCTTTTTCCAAAACAACTATCTAAATTATAATTCAAGTCTAAGCATAGCATAGGAGTTGATTGGCCTGTTGTCCAAATTATCTGGCCAGAAGAATCTTACCATTATCAACTCTGTGATACAAGGAGGCCCAAAAATGTGGTCCAAAATGAAGAGTGAAGCCAGTTGATCAAATAAGATATGGTATATTTACTTAGATGCCTTCATACCTTGGTTAATTTAAAAAAAATTCATACAGAGTTTAATTTTTGTAAATTTTCCTACCTACTTTTGAATGGTCATATCATAAATTACACACTAAACTGATTAATTCTAAGTGTTTTCCTATAACTAAGGTTTTAATCATAAAGGAATCACTGAATCTTACTTCAAGAGAAGAACTTTGTATAAAGTAAAATATATATCAAAATGTATTACATTTTGAGGAAGCTTACTTTGTATCACAGTCATTTCTTTGGTATGTATTTCATCGGTAGTGTGTACTAGTATTGTTTGAAGTGAACATTTTATATATTTTCCTGTGTAGTACATGTAGTAGTTGTTCTAGAATATGACATTTTTAAATCTGCTGACATGCTTTATACATTCACTATGTGGGAAATTAGCAAATCTTCTAAACTAAAATCAGTCTTTAGCTAATGTTCAGAAACTTGCTCTGTAACCATAAGTTACTTTGGACGTTCATATTTTCAAACCATTTCACTATAGAAGGTTAACACAGTTCTAGAATGTGTGAGTAAAATAATTATCAGTCTTTATTATGACTTTCTGAAACTTTTTCAAATGAATTTAGCCTCTGCTGCTGTTTTTATCAGCACATAATTATTTTGAATACATAATGTATAATTGTAAAAGTTGTTATTATCAACCAGTTGTTATCACAATAGAGCATTGGGCAAAAAACCTTGTTAGCAGTGACTACATCACTACTATGTCTGTTGTATCCAGCTGGTTAGATGAGCTCCAGCATTGGGCAAAAAACCTTGTTAGCAGTGACTACATCACTACTATGTCTGTTGTATCCAGCTGGTTAGATGAGCTCCAGCATTGGGCAAAAGACCTTGTTAGCAGTGACTACATCACTACTATGTCTGTTGTATCCAGCTGGCTAGATGAGCTCTAGCATTGGGCAAAAGACCTTGTTAGCAGTGACTACATCACTACTATGTCTGATGTATCCAGCTGGTTAGATGAGCTCTAGCATTGGGCAAAAGACCTTGTTAGCAGTGACTACATCACTACTATGTCTGTTGTATCCAGCTGGTTAGATGAGCTCCAGCATTGGGCGAAAACCCTTGTTAGCACTGGATATGGCAGATGTAGTGTGATTGTTCATATTATAACGTACTCTTCTTTTCTTTTACTCATAAGTTCTTAGAGTTAGTAAACTCAAAGTTTACAATATAAGAGACCAATAGGTTAGAAAAGGCAATCGTTGACATGTATATGAATTTTCAGTTTCAGCTTATCTCATTACTGATAATGATGACAAAAATTCATAAAAAAATTATTTAATATGTTTATTCATCACAATGAAAGTGGAGTGGATCATGTGCCACATGAAACAGTTTTAATGATAATTTGAACCCAATGAACCAAAATGACAGGTAACTGTAAAATTATAAAATTGGCAATACGTTTAAAAATAAACTTAAGTACTGGTTTTAATTAGTGTTTAAGTTTTACTGCTTATCAAAAATGACTTGTATGTTTATCTGCATTTTTTTAAAACTGTGTTGACCCTTGTTGCACAATAAGGTATAGGTTAAAGGACAGCTGGCTTTCCTGGTATACTGTGTGCCTTTTGACTAGTAGTAGAACTGAATGAAAATGTAATTTTATTATAATTATGAACAACAAATTACTTTGAGAATTTTTTTGAATGGTACATTTAGAAAATAATAAGCCATAAAGTTTTGGCACCAGGTATAGTAGTTTCTTAGTTTTTATAACAAATGGAGATTGGATCAGGGTGAATATCCGTCAGATTTCTGTGCCTTTAAATTCTAGAGATGCTCTAATGTTAGTTAGCACAAACATCTAATGATCTAAGTTGTTTTGATAAGTTGTTGTACTTACTGTTGAAAAGAAAATTAGTTTTTGCATTGTATTTGAATGTAACTTTCCTTATAGTAGCAATCACATACAAAGACATTGATAACATGCCACAGTGGCTTTGATCCATGTTAAACAAAACGAATGTGACATAGTAATGTAGTCCACAATGTATATCATTTCTGTGTGTCCACAAGTTTCATTAATAAGTGTACTGCATGTATCTGTATACTGGTAAAATATTATTTGCAAGTGTAAGTTTGGAAACATGCTAATTTATCCAAGGAAGTGCATTTACTTTACCTGTATATTTGTTGTTAAATTAGAATGTGATGTTGTATTCATTGTTGTATTTTGTTTTAAACAAACATTTTTTTTTATTTCTAAACATTGAAAGAATGTTCAAGTTTCACTGACCAAATCATGGTATTTAACACTACCCTATTTGTTGAATAGTCAGCACTAATGTTAATCTTTTTCCTTCGTTTCAAACTTTAACACTACCCTAGTTGTTGAATAGTCAGCACTAATGTTAATCTTTCTCCTTCATTTCAAACTTTAACACTACCCTAGTTGTTGAATAGGCAGCACTAATGTTAATCTTTCTCCTTCGTTTCAAACTTTAACACTACCCTAGTTGTTGAATATTCAGCACTAATGTTAATCTTTCTCCTTCGTTTCAAACTTTAACACTACCCTAGTTGTTGAATAGTCAGCACTAATGTTAATCTTTCTCCTTCGTTTCAAACTTTAACACTACCCTAGTTGTTGAATAGTCAGCACTAATGTTAATCTTTCTCCTTCGTTTCAAACCTTTCTGTGAAGTTTGATCTTTTCTTTGTATTATTTTCAATGAATGATATTAAACTTACTATAAACCATCTGTAAATGAATTTGATTTACTGAACATTCGTCATTCCTACTCTGCTCCAACCTTTGATCTTTCTTCCATAATATTTCAAGCATGGTAACACTACTTCCCTGTTGTTTGATGTCTATTTTTTTTAACAAATATAATCGTAATTAATTTTTAACAAGACTAAATAAATACAGAAATTGCTTTTCCATGTGTAATTTTGGATGTAATGACAAAAGAAATGAATGCGGCACACACAAATTGATAATTAAAGGTTTTCTGATCTGAGTAGACTAACGATATAGAATGTAGCAGAAAAACTTACAAGTGGCGTATATACCAATGATAATCTATTAATGTCACAAAACTACACACTAGAAAACTAAAACCTTTTATGTTTAAATTGCATTAAGTCATTGGGTAGATACAGAGTAACATCTTTATGAGATTTAACCAGCTTCAGATCTTTAAGTACACATATATACACCTGGAAAAAAGTTAAGCACCCCCGTGTTTTTTTCTAGTGATTCAGATTCGACGTTCTTGTGACTGATTATAAATTACCATTCAATCTAAACGTGTTTATCAAATGAAATTATGCATTATTGGGCACAAGAAAACAAGATTATCACCGTAAAATAACAATTCTTAATTTACATATCATGACATCAAAATATGGACAGT